TTAGGAGAGTAGTGGTATTGACTTTTGTTAAGAAAGGTAGAGGCAGACCTAAAAAGACTTGGTTAGAAAATATTAGGAATGACTTTTCTTTATTAGATTTAAACGAGTATTTGACCTTTAATAGGACACAATGGAGAAAAAGGATTCATGTAGCCGACCCCACGTAGTGGGATAAAGGCTTGATGTTGTTGTTGTTGTTATTCTAATTAGTAAATAAATGTAATTAGGGGTGCAAATGGGTCAAGTCGAGTTCGAGTCAGGCCTAACTCAAGCCCGACTTGCGAGCCAAATTTCGAGCTCAAACTCGAGCCGAACTGGTTCCACTGAAAATGGCTCATCAAGTGGCTTGATTATCAGGTTCGAGCTCCGATTTAGTTATTTCGGTCTGCTCTGATTCCCCCTTCCCCCACGATTTCGCCTTCCGCGTCAGAACCCAAGTTCGAGCTCGCCTGCCATGCGATTCCACCTGCCCTACTATTCTGTCGTCAAAGCCAACCCGCCCGCCCCGCGATTCGACTGTCCGAGCTCGTGTCTGAGCTCTCCCGGCAGTTCCGCCATTCGGATTCGAGCAGCTCGACAAGTAATCGAGCCGAGCATCCAAAGGATCGATCTCGAGCTCAAAACTTGACGACTCGTGAGCTCGTTAACGAGTCAAGCCCGAGCCAGCTCGCGAGTCAGCTTGACTCTATTTCACCCCTAAATGTAATAATTAATATGTTTTACACTATAGGTTATAAATAACCTAGTAGAATATGTCATGTAACATTTGATTTGTAATATTTTCATGTATTTCTTCCATCTCTGTTGCCACCTCTCCATTAGCAACAAATTGGTCATCATGGTAATCATGGTCATCCGTTTGAGAAATGCATTGGTCAATGGGATGCTTGTATCCTTTGTGATGATGATAACAAAAAAATATGATAAGAGGTCATTTTCATTCTATCCATGTTATTAACACCAACCACACAACTTGTTCTTAGGTCCATTACTCTGAATTATATAATATTATTTTTTAAAGGAAACTTTGTATTGTTTTGGGTTACTAAAGTATCATATGTATATGCTAAAGTTACTATAATGTGCACCAAATGGAGTTATGACTTTATATTTGTGCAATGCGATATAACACCTACCATCCCTGGGCTTACATTAATGTATAAATATTTATTAGCTTCTAATTTGCTTAACCGACACATAAATAGCTTGACCTTAGTTGTTTTAGAGAATAAAATGCTTGTTTTCATGTTTGCTATCTTTTGTATGTAATAGATAATCTATGTAGAGAAATAGGTAGATTTTATAGAGAAACTCGTAGACCCTCTAATTTAAAATTCTACTGCATTGAAAATAACATATTGAAAATTATAGATTTCTAGAAAATATTGACATAAAACCTCTTATATGTAATAAAAACACGAAGATTTAAAAATAATTCTCAAGCAATGAGCAAATTGAAGATGAGTGGGAGACATCCGTACGGTCTCACTGTCAAGATGGATGGGGTCTCACAGTCTCACTAACTATCCCAGGAAGCTGTCATCGGAAGCTGATCATGCTTTGGACAAGATGGAAGGAAAGAAGTTGCTTGATGGAATTAGCCCTCGTCAGAAATCATTTGTTTGGAGTTGATCTGCTATAGTTGCTGCTGAAGCACCGGTGCTTGTTTCATCCTAGTTGTGATTTGCCTCTAGCATAGGAGGGTCATGTGCCGCTCTTATACTCCTTACATATATAGGGTTTTGGGAACTTCTCGTTTAGATTTGCTTAAATACCTATGTAATTATCAGGATAGATAAAGGGTGTTTTGATCTTCACTTAGCTATCAAAAGGTGGTATGTGAACTCCCCACCATCATATTCTTCTATGTTTACACATGCATATTACACACGACATCCAAATGGCCAAGGAAAATCGTAAAATGTTTATTAAAGCAAAACGGGTAAAACATGGAATTGAATCAGGCCTAAGTTGAACATCTATACTTTATTACAATGGTTCAAATATTGGAGACAATGCTAGTTTCAATGAAAACTCCAGGCTATTGAGGCTTTGCTCCCTAGTTTTCTGGTAGAATGTCACTGAGACTTCATCATATGGTACTGCAAGACCTTCAATTGTTCTTTATCTCATCTGTGCCAGATTTTAGTATCGTCTGTTCCCACCTTTTTTCCTAAATGATTGCACTTATTCTTTTTGCACCTTAGTGTAGTGCCGTTAGCTTTCTTCTTTTTGATCACTTGTTGGAGCTACTTTCTTTATGCTGCAGTAACGTAGGTTTGCAATTTCCTAATGAAATATTTGTGTAGTCAGAAGCACAGTTCTGAATTATATTTAATGGTTATTTCTAGTTTGTTCAATAACTCAAATTTGAATTTCCATTTAAGCATCTGAAATATCCTCTTTACAGTTGATCTGCAAAATATGTTTTCCATGATCTGTGTATTATTTGTGTAGGATGAAGACCTAATTGTTGCGGTTGATAGCGATGGACGCTTTACTGAGAAAATATATGATTTTAAAGGCCGGTACGTCAAGGATGCTGATAAGGACATTATAAATGCGTTGAAGGTAAGTAATTTTCTCAATAACCATCATTGCTGTTTGTTATTGCTTTCTGTATGTTTTTACTCTTTCATCTATCTTCTTTGTGCGCTTTTTTAAAAAGTGATTCCTCTTCTTGGCATGAAAATCTTAGATATTTAGTAATTTTGATAAACAAATATCTTCCACGGCACCTAATAATGAGATTTTAGGGTTTCTCTTTTGGCAGTTACCTTTTTAATTAGGGCACATGCAAGTGAGGTTAAATGAAAAATACAAATTGAAGTTCTATGATAAGTGTGCTCAATGAAAGATATCAAACAGAGGTTTTGAGCCATCTGATTTTAAATGGTTTTTTTCCTTTAATTTGATTGCAGAATTAAGTTTTCAGTTCATTCGTATAGGGAAATTGCTTGTCACAGTGTTCTGTTGCGTATATTGATGAGCTTGGTGAAGTGCTATAGTTCACTTGTTTTTACAAAATGAGTATCATACCGATACTTATCTTTTCTCTTGACAAAATGATGCAGGATATATTAGGGTTTAAAGTTTTTTAAGGCATTTCTAGACTAATACGCTCGAGTCATGCACATAATCTCAAATTCCTATTTTAAACAACTATTAAGTACTTTCGATGTATTTTGAAAATAAGAAAAATCCATGTAAATGATATTTTAATAGTCATCTAAAATAAGTATTGCCCAAATATTCACAATAATAACTAATAAGAATAAGTTTCACATCAATTTCCCTGGCTTGAAAAGAATTACGTTTGAAGAATTGTTCAATTTATATTTTCTTAGTAGATTTAGGTATAATTCTTGCATTTCCTAACATAATCCAAAACTTTTTTACTTTTGGACCTATTGAGGCAACAAAAAAGGTTTTCTTGATATCCACCATTAATGATAAACATAATTTTATCATAATTAATGGCTTTAGAATTAAGATTAGCATGGAAGTCAAAGAGTTTGCAAATAATTTACATGTTTATTCCGAATAATTTGATGGAAAGAAAGAATAATATATGGTAACGGTCGACGAATCATTATATAGTCAAATCATATCAAAACTTTCCAAAATTTTTAATTTATACATTTCGAATGTGTTCATGATTTTTTATTGCCCTTTCTTTCTAGCGGTTATATGAACATGATCTAATATAAGTACTGATTTTGATTTAATAAAATATGATGTAGATTAATATCCTAATTGTGTAGCATCTAATTCATCATAGAAAGTGTATATAAGAATTATAATTTATTCAATAAGATTTAGTTCAACCTTACATGATTCTTGAGTTTCACTATATTTGATAGGCTTTAGAGGAGATAGCAATAATTTTACATTAAAGACATTGAACACGGGAGGGATATTTCTAAAATGATTGTAATATTTGATAATCTCTAAAGTTTCTTAGAAGGCCTCATTAATGCTTTCGAAATATTTAGGTGTAATTCATATTTAATTTCCGCTTATGGTATTTAATGAAAAATATTATTATAAAGTATGAGTTTACAAGCAAATAATATTTGGTTATAAGACTTTTAAACCTTACATAATGTTCAAACACTTCATAGTCACCTTATTTATAATTCTTAAATTGCTCATATGGGTTTTCCTTATATTTATTAAATGACAGATTTTGTTCTTTAAGTTTATATTTGATATCAGACCATGTTGTTTTAGCAACAATACTTTGTTAAAATGATTTAGTATGTCCCACTAGTTTTGATTTAACATATTCAACTCTTTGGGGATCAAACATATTATAAGACATGAAGATTTTTTTAAAGTTACCCATCCAATTTGAAAATACCATAAGATTTTACCTCCATTTAAATGCACGAATATGAGTTTGAACCAAATAGTAATTATGTTCAATTTTTCTGGAAGCATTGTTTAATTGATTTGATTTAACTTGTATATTTTGTTAATTGACCAATGATTTTGTTTACATCAAGAACATGTGAAGATACAACCCTAATCTTTGATATCAAATCTAATGTTGGATATCTTAAGTTATAAGGTTTTCTATTAAAAAAATATAGGATAAGATACTCAAAATTACGCACAAGGGCTCAAATTCATAGTCACGAACTTCTAATGTAGCTAATTATTCACCACTTTAGGTGAAATTGAAAATCTGAAAAATATGCAAAATTTGCACAAACAATATAACCATCATGGCATCATCTAATAAAAATCTCTCATAAAAATTTAAGATCATAAAAAAAATGTTCCATTGAAAATGCACACCACAATAAAAAATTTAGATTGTATTAGATTTAACAATTATCAATCCTGCAGACAGTCCAATCACTAAATTAGAAAGAAGGGTTAAGTGATCACCAAGTAGAAAAATCAAGCTTCACGATGACAACAGAAAATTTACCTTGAATTTTTTAAGAATGCTAGAAAGAATTTCAGCCTCCTACAAATCATTCACATCAAACTCATCAAAGTGGAAATCAAAATAGAACTTCTCTTTTATATTTTTAACTATCCTATTACAAAAATATCCACATAAACGTGCTAGTTCCACGTGGGGACTAGCAGACAAAAGTCCCGTGGAATAGAAGTGAAGTCTGCAACCTGGAAGAGCCAACCCATGCTGTCTTGTGGATAGTTTCAGCATCACATCGTCTCTGCAAAAAAATGATGAGGTATTAACTACAATCAAACTTAGAGAGGGGCATATGATCGTTTATGTTTAATTATATGATTGAATGATTTTAGGCCGTTGAGTATCTTCCTATAAATTGGCAATTGCTAGTTAACCATGTTACATAACGATTGGTGAAATGTCTGATAAAGTTGAACTTGTAACGTTCTCAACTAAGGTTTCATTTGCGACGGCTTTTTTATTATTTTTAAAAGCAACTCTTTAGTTAAAAAATTAAGTTTTTCACTAGAAAGTTACTTTAGGAAGCAGCAAAAAAGTCGTCCAAAACGAAGCCTAAGTCATAGTTGGGTTTTTTTTAGTGTTTAGTCAATGAAACATGCTTATACGGTTTTATTTATTTATTGATTTAATTTTTTTTTTCTTTTTCTACCAGTAGCCGTATTATATGAATAACATTTCAATTTGAACTAACTTTATTGGTAACTAACACTTAAATTATGCTGTAAATTTATTTTTTGAGCACAACAGGCAAAAGACAGACTTGTAAACGTTGGAAATATCACACATTCTTATCCTTTTTGTTGGAGGTCTGACACTCCTCTTATTTACAGAGCTGTCCCAAGCTGGTAAGGGCGCTTTTATATCATGGCTTTGACAATGGATATACAATTTTTTATACGGATGTAATTATGGATAAAATCAAGTTTGAATTTGATGAACATTAGGGATTAAATTGGGCTGGTCTTGTGTCAATTATATCTTAGAAATAAAGAGTCTATGAATAGATGATTAGTGCATGCAATGGAACGTTGTTTGAATAAGATTTCTTCTTACAAATTTTAATTTTATGCGGACAAATAGGGTGTGTGATTCTTTTGAGTGCAATATAAGTGTTACTTCTTAGCTCCTAACAAATTGGATGTGTCATCTCCTTGTGCTATTGTAAGGTCTGGATAGCTTACTTTTGTGAATTCTTTCATTGATCTAATTATATATATATATATATATATAGCATGTTATTGTTTATGATTTTATTAAAATTTAATACTAATGGAATCCTTATTGTGATAAATAAATTGCAATTGCTCATTGATTTTGTATTATTCAAATTTCTTTTTGATTTTTTTGGATTGATTCTATTGTTACATATTGTTTGGGCTCTAGTTCTTGTATATATTGGTATGCATATGCAAAAAACTAATTTTTTGTATATTTATTGGTATGTGATCCACAAATCTAAGTTCTTTTGTGTGATTTTCATGCATTATAATATTCTAGTTGCATAGGAAATCCTAACTCTAAACTGTCTTGCATCAAATTGGTATTAGTGCTTTAGGTTGTGTCAACATATTATATAGAAGTGGATCATCATGATAACCTTAACTTATTTTGAAGCGATGCGATTCTGAAAACTTTGCAAAGTTAATCAGCTGCATATTTTAATGAACAAAATACAAAAATGTGATGACATTAATTTAGTTAATGCATAACTTGGCATATTGGAAATTAATTGAATTCATATATGTGAACCTAAAGTTAATTGCAATCAATTATCATGATATACAATTGACGGTGCTTAATAATATTTATTTAAATCATAGGACTAAAAAATTTGAAGTAGTTGATGCCATGACAAAAGAAAGGGAAAATTGAAGTTAAAGTATTTACTTGAGATCGTAAAGTTGATTCTAAAGTTTTTACTAATTGAGTACTTAATTTAGATGACTTTTGAATGACAAATCATGCCTGATGAGCGATAAGTAAGGTTCATGAAAATGAAATTATCTTGGTAAGTTAAAATTTACAGGATGAACATAGTGAAAAAAAGGGAAATGTTGGAAAGGAGACCTACTTCTAGAAAATCTGCACTTGCAATTTGGAACTCATGTGGTTGGTCAATAATTAACAGGAATATGAAAGTTTGATGTACTTCATTAATACCAGATTCTTTTGTTTTCATTGTCTGTAATCGAATTATGAAAAAAGATATAGGGGTGGGTGATCTTGTTGGATCACTATGGCGACTTACTTGATTATACCTATCTGATCTGCTAAATTTCCTTTCACAACCCATTCTCTATTTGATCTGCACGTCAAATAAAATGAAAATTTTACTCATAAGTTTTCCATTTATACTGTTTTACCAAAATTCATAAGATGGTATTAGAATAAAGATAAACTATTGCAGAATTGTTATGGGGAAACTCTCCTAGGACAGGAGTGTGTGTGAGGTGGGGAGGCTGGGTGCTACTTGTCCCTGTGATCAGCACTTCTATGTGTATTCTTTCATGTAAAGTTGGAAATATTAAACTGAAATCTAGTCTAGTGGATTATGATAAAGGTTGCATTGTTCCTGTTGATTATTGGACGTTGAATTTTGTGCAAGATTTTGTTTGCACTTGATATTTTACTTTCATATGGAAATTGTATGTAGGTTCGTTGCCGTGGAAAAGATTAAAGATCAATTACTGGAGTGTAACAAACAAACATACTGGGTTCCTGAGTATGTCAAGGTATTTTCACTTTTTTACTTATCATGCGATATAATTCTTGCTTTATCATGTGATGTAATTTTTCTGTAATTATGGTTTTTATCTTATACATTTTTGGTTATTACTAATGAAACTAATGTATTAAATCTATCTTGGAGTGAACCCTTATGCTGCAATGAAGCATAATTGGCTCTCTAAAGTTTGGATTGGTAGAGTTAAATATTTGAAAGAATGGTTGAGAAGTAAACTTCTGGAAATTGCAGCTTTCTATATTTTAAAATAAAATTAATTTATTTTACAAGGAAGTATTATCTAGTTTCTACAATGGTCATTGAGTCTCTCGATGTGCTGGATTCACTAAAATCCTAGACACTAGGTGATATATTTTATCTTTGACATTCAAAATAGTTTTAAGGCATACAAGCCTTTTGAATTTCTGTTGAACATTTGTAAATATGGTATAGTTTATTTATGACTTGAGTAAGACGTGAATGTAGTCAATAAGCATTTCTAAAGCTGACCAGAAAAAGTTGGGCTGCTGCTGCTGCGGTTGCTGATGGTGATCAATTATGCCAGTGAGTACAGAAAAAAGGATGGAGGATGTGCTTATGTATAGCTCATCTTGAATCCCTTTTTTTCTTCCTCAACATTCTTTCTTAGGCATTGCAAAACCCAATTACTTGTGCTTATCCATTTCAATTGGCATTAAACCAATCTGATTAACCAGTTTCATTCACTTTTTAAAATCTTGCAAAACCTGTTGGTGCTGTTTCTTGTAGACAATCATTTAGATGGATCTCATAAATCTTTTTTTTTCCTAGTTAGTTTGGTTGTCTTAGGCTTGTTTGGGACGACTTTTTTACTGATTCTTAAAGCAGGTTCCTAGTATAAAAATTTAAACTTTTATACGAAGAAGCTGATTTTAGAAGCAGCAAGAAAGCTGTCCCAAACGAAGCCTTAGTCTATGTTGGCACTGATGGAAATAGTTTTTCCATTGTGGTACAAAAGTACCTGGCATTGGCTCTTCTGATTAGGACATGGACGTGTGTGCACCACATCTGGAATTATTTTATTTACTCCTTCCCAGTATTTTGTTGGGTAGTGCACAACCCAATTAGTGTGCGCACACCTTTCAATTTATATTAACCTAATTTGATGAATCAACTATTCATTTTCCTTTTAGAAAACTCGTATAAACCTGTTAGTGTTGGAACTTCTTGTCAATAATTAATATGGATCTCATATTAAATGTGTGAAATCATGTGGTTATTTCTGGAAGTCAGCACGCCAATTATTCAAGAAAGAAAAGTGGTGGACTGCTCTCGACAATTCAAGGATTCATTTCTGGAAATGCTCTTGGCGTTGCTGATTTCCAATAATTCTGGGATACCTCCTTCAGCTGGCGATGCTTTAGTGGATCTCCTAGCTGGAGGTTTAAGTAAGAAAGGTAACCAACATGGATCCAGTCATCCGCATGAGCTCCTCAGTTCTCCAAATGATTTCCCTGTTATTTTTGCTTCCTCAACAGTTGGAAATTTAAATAAATCCTTCTGAAGCTACACTGGAATTGTCAGTAGTAGAAATACCGATTTTGGGAATTCAGTTTCCAATTAATATTGGGTTCCTTCTTTCAACCTGCTTCCATATAGAGAATATTATCCTGGATTTACATCTTTAATTGCATATAATTATTTCTTATAAGTTATTTTTTGTTATTAGATATTAAGGAGTGCGAAAGATATATATATAAGTTAGTCAAGCAAAGAGATAGAAGAAGGATTTAGTTCAAGTGAAGTACATTAAGGATTAAGATCAAAAAATACTTTTATTAGAAGAGGATATTCAAAAAAGGTGGATGAGATATTTTGATAATCTTTTCGATGTAGATTGTGAAAATACGATTGACTTTGGTGGCCTTAGCATAAGGCATCCTAAATGAGAATGAAGATTTTTATTTTTATTGACATATTAGTAAAATCGGAGTTAGAGAGGCTTTAAAGAAAATGAAGCATGGAAAACTATTGGACCTAATGATATTCCTATAGAGGTGTGGAAATGCTTAGGAGATGAGGGAATTTATTTGCTTATGAATTTTTTGTATATTATTTTGAAGACTAAAAAGATGTCAGATGAGTGGAGGAGTGTGTTTATTTTTATTTTTAAGAAAAAAAATGTGATGCATGAGAGTGTGTGAATTATAGAGTAATTAAGTTCATGTGTTATACTTTAAAACTATAGGAGAGAGTTATATGATGTGATACTAATGTTTCTCAAAATCAATTTGGATTCATGTTAGGTAGGTCTACTATGGAAGACATGCATTTGTTGAGATGTTTGATGGAGAAATATAGAGAGAATAATGAGGATCTACATATGATATTTATTGATTTAGAAAAAAAAAAAAACATATGCTAACTCCAAGAGAAGTGCTATAGAGAGTTCTAGAAAAGAAAGGGGTTAATAATGCTCATATTCAAGTCATTAAGGATATGCATGCAAGAGCTATTACTTGTGTTCAAACACAAGGTGGTTTGACCAGGTATTTTTCTATTTCAGTTGGATTACATCATGGATCAGCCTTATGCCCATATATTTTTGCTTTAATCATGGATGTCCTTACTAGACATTTGCAAAAGGATATATCCTGGTGTATGCTTTTAGCTGATGATATTCTTCTTGTTGATAAGACTAGAGATGGTAAACTTGAATTATGGAGGTCAATCTTAGAGTCTAAAGGTTTTAGTTTGAGTAGATCTAAAACCAAATACATGGAGTGTAATTTTGTAGTAATAGATCTAGTGGGGGGATTGTGACTTTGGGCCATCAAGTCATTAATAAGAATACACGTTTTAGATATCTCGATTCTATTGTTCAGAGTGATTTTGAAATAGATGGGGAAATTAGTACTAGAATTCAAGTTGGATGGCTAAAGTGGAGGAATGCATCAGACTTGTTGTGTGATAGAAAAGTACCCTTCAAACTTAAGGGGAAATTCTATAAGATGGTTGTGAGACCTGCTACGCTTTATGGCGTAGAATGTTGGCCATTAAAAGCGAAGAAATAAAATTTAATGTTGTAGAGATGAGGATGCTCAGGCGGATGAGTGGATTTACTCTTAGATAAAAAATACAAAACAAGCATATACGTGAAAAGGTTGAAGTAGCTCCAATGACATATAAGATTAGAGAGAGCCGCCTTAGATTATTTGTTCACATAAAACGAAGGCCTTTAGATGACTTGGTTAGGAGAGTAGATGTATTAGATTTGGCTTTTGTCAAGAATGGTAGAGCTAGAGCTAAAAAACACTTAGATAGAAAATATTAGAAATGACCTTTCTTATTAGATTTAAATGAGAATTTGACTCTTAAGAGGATACAATGGGGAAAAAGGATTAGTGTAGCCAACCTCACTTAGTGGGATAATGGCTTGATGTTATTGTTGTATAATCGAGTTTTGTATTTGCCAATGTTTAAAATTGAGGATTATGAGGCTTGCAGTGAGCCCCACCTCAGCGTAATTTCGATGAAAATTGCCTTGAGGCTTACGCGTCGAGCCTTTTATGAGGTTTGCCCCTCAGTTTTGCGTAAGTGTGCCTTGAGGTGCGCCTCTCCTCGCTGGTGTGTGGCGTATACCTTACCCTATTTACATATTTTTTTATTAAAACTTACCTAAATCCTAAACTAAAGCTCCGAATAAATCACACAATGCTCCCTTGAGCCGAAGCAGCTTCCTCTCAAATGTCTCGATCTTTGCCGCATCTGCTACCATCGTAGTTGTTGCCGGGGATCACTTGGAAGCTGCACACTACTGCCACCTACTCCAAAAATCTTGTAGTATTGCTCTATTCTTTATGTTGATGACAAATATTTATGAAAGAGGAAGATGATTGAAATAAATGAAGAAACAGATTAAGAGGTTTTGAACTTCATAAATTTGGGCTAACCCAAATCCATAATGGTCTCTGAATGGCCTAAATAAATGAGCTTGAATGGGTTTGACCAGTCCATTTGACATCCCTAATAGTAGTATAGATGATTTAGTGTGAAAGTACTAAGAAAAAAAAGGGTAGACTAGAGCTAATACAAAGATTTAACAAAATGGAGTTGGCACCAAATAAAACATTAAAACAGATTTAATGGTGAAAAATCATGCTTAAAGATAATTCCAAATATTTGGAATAAGGCTAATGATGTTGCATGCGAATATGTTAGATTGGGTGTACCTATTTTCAGTCCAAACTGCTTTTGCACTTGTTGAGTACCTTTGCTTTATATGGTGTTCTAAGTACCTTTTTTGGTACTTTCTAAGAGTATTCCAATGTCTTCTCATCCTCAACTGATTTGTTTTTTTATTTCTCTATAGTAATATTTCCTTAGTTCCCTTATTCATTCTGGTGTCTTCAGTATATCTTGTTGCTTTCATCCTGTCAAACTGGTTTGGTTGAGATTTATTTATTACTGAATCCCTATATATGTAAATCTGTTCTATTGAAAATATCCCTACCGATCATGAGGTGTTACCTCAGGGGCCTTCTTCATTATGAGTAGCAAGTTTAAATTCACTGGTTATATGATCATTTATATTACTGTTCTCTTGCACTATAGCTTCATTTTACCAAAAAGCTATCATGCCAAGGTTTCTCTTGATTCTGAATCCTCAATAGTTGATCCCATCAATTTCTCAGCAACTAAAGGTATTATCCTTATCAAAAAGGAAGATGTATTTCCCCTAATGATGTATCCATGTCATTGTCTCATTTAATCATAATATTGGTTTGGCTGTCATTCTGGTATTCTCTGCTGGTGTAAAAATTTTGGAAGCAATAAGCATATTTTAACGAATTTAAGTGAAGTTAAAGTGTTTAATCCTTTCATGAATAAGTGATACACTCATGTACTAGTGAATAAAATTATTTTCCTGATCACAATTTTGTTCAAACAAAAATTCTGGTAGAAGGTTAAGTATAATATGACTGCACTAAAACTTATTGAAAGCAAATTCTTCCTCCTTTATATGACTTGCGTTTAAAAAGGAGGAATAAGTCAAAATAGCAATGGTTGTACAGGAACTTATGAAAATGGGAAATTTGATGGAAACATCCTATTTAGATGATTTTAAAATGTGCAATCAATATTGGGAAGCTTGGGAAGGAGTTTTTGTAGTCTGTAAAGCAAATTGTGTATGATTTGTTAGTTAGGGTTTTAGATTTGCAGAATATTTAAAATGTTCTGTTTATAGCATAAAATCTAAACACCAAATCTATAAGCTTGGAAACTTGTCAGTTATGAATGGTAAAATGTGTATGTTGATTTAAACAATCGCACCACATCCATTTTACCCATTAAGTGGAGGATTGGAACTGCTCCTAGTTAACAAGATCTTGCATTTTAAGAAATTACTATATAACTAGTGTTGAGCAAATGGGTGACATGTATCCTGATTCTTCATATTTAAAATGCACAGTGGAGTTATTAAAAAAAACTACTCTTATGTGATTTTGCTTGAGATGCATTGCTTATCAGTAATGTCATTGTGTGAGAAAGTGGATTATGTTATGTATTTTCAGCTGTTTCATTGGTTGTAACAATGTCCATTAGTTATGCCAACTTTTGATCATTGGTCTCCATGAATTTGGATTGCTATGTTATGCAATTGTTATTATGTGTTTTCATTTATTTAAATTGTTTATTAATTTTCATCCCTAGCACGTAGTATTTCTCTACTATTGAAGATTATTGATAGCTGTGGCATTATTATAGGAGAAAAGATTTCACAACTGGCTTGAGAATGCACGTGATTGGGCTGTCAGTCGAAGTCGTTTTTGGGGCACTCCTCTTCCTATATGGGTTAGCAAGGATGGAGTTGAAAAAGTTGTCATAGATTCCATTGCTAAACTTGAAAAGTTGTCTGGTATCAAGGTCAGTTTCTTGCAACTTCTCATCATAACTTTCATAAATTGTCATTGATAATGCTTTTTCAATCACAGTTTCCCCTTTCTGCTATCTTTTGCACCATCTTTCCTTATGCATATGGCTACTTGTCTGCCATTTGAAGCTTGAAAAAGCACACCATCTTTTCCTTGATTTTCTTTTCTTTACCTTTGCAAAGAAAAATGAACATACACAGATTGTTTTCCTTGTCATTCATTAGTTGTTTGTTATACGTGTACAATCATGTGTAGCTTACTGATTTTTGTTTTGTTATTTTTTTTTTTGCACCAGGTAACTGATTTACATCGCCACCATATTGACCATATTACTATTCCTTCTGGGAGAGGTCCTGAGTTTGGTGTGCTGCACCGTGTTGATGATGTGAGTTTAATCTGGTGTATATCTCTATTTAGGATTCATGACGTTAGTTTTTTGCGAAAGTATGTTCATGTTACATTCTCATCTATATATCACTATCGGCCAATATAGTTCTCAATTGTTTCTCATACTTGTACCTTTTAAGCACTTTTTTAAAGTTTTTTGTTTTGGTGCAAGAAATTTGTTTGCTTGTGTTATTTTTTATTCTTTATCAATCTTTGAGCTCCTTCGAGTTAGTACACTTCCAAAAATTGGTGAAAGGCGGGAGGTTCGCATTCTAATGTCCAACATGTGATTATCTTTTGAAAGGCGCTTTATGTAACAAGCGCCAGAACGTTTATTTACATTTTTCTAAGCAGCACTATGATCATTGCTGTAAAAATTTTATATCATTTTCTTGTGCTTTTAGCTCAAATATGGATGCCCAATTTTTTGTCTGCTTTTATTTTGTAAAGTAATGAAGATGTAGATAATTAATTGCATTATTTTACTCTCTAACCAAGATAATTGTTGAAATGATAAATTTACCATTTTGAAGAGCTTATAGAGTTCTTAAACAATATCTAAACCTTATATGAAGTATATTTTCTCATATGAATAAGTTCTCTTTTATTTATATCGTGATCAAACAATTTCTGCTTTTTGGATTATATCATATTTTAGTTTTATTTTATTTTTTACATTTGGATTTAAACTAAGATTGATGCAGGTATTTGACTGCTGGTTTGAGAGTGGATCTATGCCGTATGCTTATATTCACTACCCATTTGAGAATGTTGAGCTTTTTGAAAAGAACTTCCCGGGTCATTTTGTTGCGGAGGGCATCGACCAAACTCGTGGATGGTTGGTTCCTTATCAAGATTTACTGTTAATATTTTTTCGCATAATCTCTATTTCATTTGTTCTGAATATTTTGGGTTCTCTGATTTTCCAATTTCTCATGCTCTATAGACAAATGTTGCAATGGTACACTTATCATGACCTTGGTTGCTGTTTAAACTGTAACCATTGCTATTGGAGTAGGATTTCATGGTTAGATTGCATTCCTGTTCTTGTTTGTGTGAATTTTACTATTTTTTTTCTTTACCCTAATATTGGTGCTCCCATTATTAGATGATTCTATTTGTGCAGGATTGCTAAAGCCCTTTTCCATTGTCTGAAAATATTGTTTGACCAGTAAACTTATGTTGATTAGTTCTTCAGTTGTTTATCTAATTCAAAAAGAGCTTGAATCATTATGTTACATTGATATATGCAATAACTATTTTTAATTTGAAAATGCTGCAGCTTTTTTAGGTACTATTTTTTTGTTTCCAATCATTTTCTTGGTAACTATGTCGTATATGATGTTTCATTGAGGTGTCTTTTCTGAATAAGTTTTCATGCTGATTTCAGATTTTTATTTGTGTTTCTTTTTCTGAATCATATTTCTTGTATTTATGTATATTGTGTGAGCGCCAAAGAAGTACCTAAGAATCTGCCTTTTCATAAGCATAAAATGTTGTTTTTTATGTTCTTGCTATTTATCTTGACAACCCAATTTTAATATGGGATGCTATATGTCCATATGTGTTCATAAGAGTTGCACTAGCGATTATCCTGAAAACATTTTTCATGGCATGAGTGCTAGTTTTTTCCTCAATAAGGTTTCTTTAGAGAAATGTGTTGAGATAAGAAGTATTTTTTAGTTTCTAATCTTATTAATAATTCTTATACTTCAAATTTGGTTATAATTTCAGGTTTTATACTCTTATGGTGCTTTCAACTGCCTTGTTTGGGAAACCTGCTTTTAGGAATCTCATCTGTAGTGGTCTTGTGCTTGCAAAGGATGGAAAAAAGATGAGTAAAAGTCTGCGGAACTATCCTTCACCTATGGACGTCATTGGTGACTATGGTGCAGTGAGTTATTAAACCTTAGTTAGCAAATTTGGGTTGTATGCATATGACTTATTGACATTTACCTATGAAATATTGTAAAAGTAATTGTTTTCCACTTTTAACCAACAGTATGTTAAATATGGGATTTTAAAACTTATAATTTATATTATATTATCATAATTAATAAAAAATGCCCTCATTCAAGGCTTTCTAAGACATCAAGTACAAATTCATTGAATCAATTTTAAACAAAAAATTTTCACCCTGTGTGCTTGGGTAATTCAATTTTCTATTTCATATGATGGCATAATTTTTTGTAGAAATTGCTATCAATGTCAATATTAGACTTTGGAACTGACATAATTTAAATTATGTTTGATAATCTATTTCTCATCTTTAAACTTGCATATATATATATATATATATAGACTACTATCCTTTTAGAAGATTAGGAACCTTTGTTCAAACATCTTCCATTCTTTGTCAAAATATTTGATTGAGATTTAATTAGTAAATTATTGGTATTCTAAAAGAAATAAATGTTGTCTTTTAATTCTTTGAAATCTCAACCATTAAAAATATTTTGATGAATGGTGGAAGTGTGCAAGTGGCAAACTTTAAAATGAAAATTATATAATAAATCTAGATTTACCTGTTTGTATTTTTACTGCACTACTTTTTTTAAGGAATTTTTAAACTGTACAGTTTTTTGTCTTGGACAAATTAAACACGTATGTATGAATTTCTACTTTAACCCTGTCCCATATTATCGTAACAATTCCGAGGATTTGCTTAAACTGTAAGAATCTTTAGTGTAGGATTTCCTAATTTTATAGCCCATGATTGAGGCACGAGTTGTAAAAATGTCTTTAATTCTTATCAGTAAAGAAATAGTTTGAAGAACTTGCTGTCACTTAAAATTTCTTATCAATAGTGGCCTCAAATTGGTAGTGATGTTACATATCTTGGGTTGGAAGTAATGTTGTGGTGGTATTATTTATGATTGCTTCTTGACGTGCTAAGTTTCTTTTTCCTTCATTTCTTAATGGTGCTCTTAATACTCTTTATTTTCTTAGTTGTTATAGGTAGTAGGTTAGATGACCTTTTCAAGCAGCACATTGAATAATATATTGTATTTCTAACTGGTTTTGTGCAGGATGCTTTGCGGTTATACCTCATTAACTCGCCTGTTGTGCGTGCAGAATCATTGAATTTCAAAAAGGAAGGTGTATATGCTGTTGTAAGTTTTCTGTATCTAAACTATGGATTGAAATGTCCTGATACTTCATATTTGGTTTCTCTTTTTATTTTTTGTTAAAAATGCCAATTTATTGTTTTGATGGAAGTTTCAATTTTGACTTATAGGTGAAAGATGTCTTCCTTCCATGGTATAATGCGTATAGATTCCTTATCCAAAATGCAAAGAGACTTGAAGTTGAAGGCTTTGCTCCTTTTACACCTATCGCTCGTGCAATTCTTCAGAAATCTTCAAATGTTCTTGACCAATGGATCAATTCTGCTACTGAAAGTCTGGTTCATTTTGTATGCCGTGAAATGGATGCTTATAGACTGTATACGGTGTGATATTGTCTATAAAAAACATCTTCTGCATTCTTCCGTCCAACATTTTTATTCTATGTTGTTTATCTTTTATTATGTTTTTCCCACCAGGTGGTACCATATCTTTTTAAGTTTATTGACAACCTTACCAACATATATGTTAGATTCAACCGTAAGAGACTAAAGGGGCGTACAGGAGAAGATGACTGCAGGATATCACTTTCAACCCTTTACCATGTATGGTATTCTGACTTTGGAGGAGCAGTTACTTTGTTATTCTTTTTCTTTAGTAGGTTGTTCACACTTGTTCTTGTCTAATTATTCGGTTGCATGTGTTTCTTTGCCTAAGGAATAATTAAAATTGTTATTGCAGAGGTTTTATCATATTGAAAGTTATTACTTATTTAGTATATTCTCTTTCTTATGTAATATATCCTCCTAATTCATGACATTTTCTTCTTCATTTCTTCTTATTTTATCTCTTATATCTACTTATATATATGTACATGTGATATAATGAATGAATTAAGTACTTGTCAATTGCCTCACCATAGTATTTGAGCAAGGCTAAGCTCTAATCATCACATCCTTCTGGCCTCTCTCTCCCTCTTTATGTCCATAAGCCCACTTTGCCACCTACCCCTCTTTCGCTCACTTGTATTTGTCCAAGCATCTGCTTACCATAAAACTTGCATGTGCGCTACCCAGTCCTCATTCCCGTTCACTTGCCCATACATTATGCTGCTTTCCCACATGCTAAAACCACTTATGCGCTCACTTGCCTACCTGACTCACCTCACCATTACTCACCACACTTGTACTCACTATGTGCTACTGTTTCTACCACTTGCTCTGCCTCGACCTTTTTCATAACAAACCACTTGTTGGACCAATTGCATCTTCCTATCAATTGTAATGCCTTGACGTCTCCCACACACTTTGACCTCTCCCACACTTTGACCTCTCAACGCTAGCCTATTGCATCTCTCTCACACTGCAACTTCTCTCACATTCACGGCCTTTCCCTTATGTGTGTTGTGCTAGTGAAATCTCACTCATGCACGTCTGCTCAGGGATCTTATTTGTGATTGTTCCTTTGCAACCTCCTCCAAACATTGCCTTGTGATCTATGATTAATTAAATTATCATTGTTTCATTATTTTTTTTTTGGTGTTTGTTAATGACGTCATCTATTTCTCTCCCTACTATGAAATCTTCCTATAACATTTTTATGATAGGAAACACTTGAAGATCTCAAGTAAATCCTATCAATCTCGGAAAAACAACGAGAAATCTCCACAAATACAATAGAAAATCAGAGAAAAACAAGAATTTTATTCCAAGAACACAAACTAACGGAAGAAAATACAAGATGCAATTGATCCTCTATTCGAGAGGAGGATCTATTTCTCTCAAATATCTAGACGCCGCTAGAGCCCAAAACCTAAACCTAAGATATCTCAAATTTCAGCCAAATTCAAGATGCCCTAACCCTAGGAAAACAAACTATTTAATGCATACAATCCAAAAGGAAATTTCTAAACAGTCTCTACATTCAAATTTCCCTCCCAATCCCTCAAAAATCCTTCCTAAAATGTTACGTGGAAACTTGCAGTCTGATCGGCATATGCAGGAGAGGCTGAACTTCCTCCTTTGTTCGCCTGGGCCGGTTCAATGGACCGGTCTAACATTATACCATTATTAACTCAATGGTATCAACTCTTGTAATCTCTTGCTCTTCATTACCATATTGGATTCCATTAGAAACTTCATCATATGGCCTATAGCTCTTAAACCAATATACACCACCAAATATACAAAATGGTAAGCCTGTGATTATCCAATGTTGATGCTCAATACTTTTGAACCTTTAATTTCTTCTACCATCACATTTCAAGAAATTGCAATAGGAATATAGGACTTTCTTCATTTTACCTACTTTCAAGGAGGTTACACCTCTCAGGTAGACAATTTCTACTCTAACATCTCTTATCAATAGGGCGATAAATCTCCTCAAGATTGTTACAGTACCTTGAAAGAAAAATATGATGAACTCTTTCAATATTGCTCTTTTACCACTTAGTCCACTTGAAAATATAAAATGAAGAATTTTTTATTGCTAGTTTCTCTGTGGTTTCCATTCATCTCTCCACTTTGTTTAAGAGCAATTGATGGTTGGTTTTGTTAGTCTCAACATTTCCACAACTCTCTCACACATTCTTCTAGTTATGAAGTTTACTTTGTATTCTTTTGATCATGTGCATGCTATTATTGTTGCCAGTGCAAGAGGCAGTTTGGGTAATTGTGATCATGTTTATGGTCTAGTCTATTTTTCGACCCTGTCAGCATTGCCAAAGGACTAAGCACTCATTCGAATATTGTTGGAAAAAATTTGGTTACGGCTTAGGTTGCTCAACATCTCGCCGCCACCACCCTTGATTTTGTTGCAACCAATTTTGAAAATGCTCTCCCAAAAAAAAATATTATTGCATATTACAATTTTGACTTGACTGCCTTTGCCTCTTATGCAATCTCCTATTTTTTTATTGCAACTGCTTACTTTGGTACATCTTGATTCTTAATTTTTAGTGTTCTTCCCACATGACAACTAAGCCTATAGTTATTTTCATAACCATAAATCTCTTCCACTTGTTATTGTTGCTAAGGGATCTCACATGATAGGCAATCCACAATTATCTTCTCACTTAACCATGCAATCTCTCCATCCTATCATTGTTGTTGGTAGATCACCCTCCTATGTCTATAAAGCAAGGATATATTTTTCTCTCCTTAATTTTAGAATGTCTTATCTGTTCTCTCTTTCTGGTGAACTTTTTTATATAAATTATATCAAATCCCACAACTATTCAGTAATGTTTTTATCCTTTTTACAATGTTTTATAGGATACAAGGACGAAGAAGATGATTTGTGGTGGTGTTAAAGTTGGAGGCATTTACCATCTCTCTAATAATGCTACATCAATCGCTCTTTCTTCCACTATATCTCTTTACCAGTGACATTATTGTTTAGGTCACCCTCCTCACTATCCTTGTGGTTTTGCTCATCTTCTTGTTTTTAAGTTTGGCTATGAGTGCAAATAACATCGAGTCTCTTTTTCTATGTCCAAATCCTTTGATTTTCGTACTTCTTTTAACTTGGTCCATTCCAATATATGAGTTCCACTTTCTGTGCTCGCTCTTCTTGATTTTCATTTTTTTGGTACTTTTTTGGACAAGTACAAGGGTTTAGGGAATCTCTCAAATTTTTGAAGATCAACACTGCTAAATATGGAATTTGGGAAGCTTTTTCACTTTGTCGTGGAGAGGGAGTGAGTGGATGACATTTGGATGGTTTACAAGTGGTGGGGGCAAGAAATATAGGGGAGCCTATACCCCTCGCCCGCACAAGAGAAGTGGGACGACACAAAAACGAAGAGACACGAAATTCAAGATGAGAAGAGAGAAGATAACAAACTCTTACATTTCAAATTTGACATAAATAAAAACTTACAAACTAGACTCCAAATAAAATGACGACACCCTAAAGTTGCTGCACTTGGAGAAGAAGGATACAGGTGGAGCGGCACTTGCGGAGAGACGAAAGAGGTTAGAAGCTCGAGAAGAAAGGTTGGAAAAAGCCCGCAGGATTTCCGGAGGGGATGAGAAAGAAGGGTGGAAAGAGCCCGCAGGATTTCCAAAGCGAACCGCAGGTTATACCTTTTCCAAAAATCACATTTCATTCACTATTTCAAACATTACAAATCCCCCATATATATAGGTATGAAAGGGAATACAAAGAGACACATTACATTAATTTTAACACAAGAATTTCAGCTCAATTTTGATTGAGCTAGTAGACTCAAGGGAAGCCAAAATTCATATTATTTTGGACATGGGTTTACCCCCCCTTTGTCTACATCAACAAGTTCGTTGCGCTGAAGCCAACCACTTCATGCTTAGAATTTGGGAAACCAACTACAACCACGAGAACTATTTAACTTAGAAGTCTTTTGTATACATGTGCAAGCATACACTCACACCAAAACACGCAAGATGGCCTCATCGTTATTCTAAGCAATTCATGTGAAACTTGGAATTGACTTCAAATTAGATCTAAGCAACCTAGTGGTTTGTGCTTAGCGAGTTACATGATTCAATTTGGATATAATATGAACTTATTTAACTCGGTTATCGTTTTAATTGATTTTTCAATTCATAACTCTATCTATTGTACTTAATCTCATTGTTGATATCGCTTATTTTTTTAGAATGCTTATTTATTAGCGAAGGCAAATTTTTTTATATTGTGTGATTATTGTGCCATGTCTTAGTCTTATCTTGTGCCATGATCATGTTACATTCGTATTCTATAAGTTGATTTCAACTTATTGCAACAGCCGATTCGTGTGACAGTATGGTTTAAGTAATATATGATTAATAGATGAATTGCAAATCATATCAGTTAAATAATCGAGTTCCATATAAAATGGCTTCCTAAGAAGCCATGATTTCAACTGCTAATTCATATTTGTTTAAGGATTCCTGAGCATTCTACGTTTCCATAGCTTACCTTTATTCTATCACTTTTTGCAGGTACTTTTGACAACATGCATGGCAATGGCTCCATTTACGCCTTTCTTCACTGAAACTCTTTTCCAAAACTTGCGGAAGGTTTCCAATGTATTGGAGGAAAGCATTCATTACTGTAGTTTCCCTTCTGCCAGTGGAAAGGTACCTCACTAATAACAGAAAGGTCATGCCCACTTGCTCATTAGCTTATATTTTATTTTTCGATAATAATAAAAATTACTATTAAACTTGTAGAGAGATGAGCGCATTGAGCAAAGTGTTACAAGGATGATGATCATCATTGATCTTGCACGGAACATCCGCGAAAGGAATAACAAACCTCTTAAAACTCCACTAAGGCATGATCGTAAATTTCCCTTTTTTTGGCTTATTTTAATTTTTTCTTACTTCAGTATTTTTTTTAATCTCCAGAGAGATGGTTGTTGTTCATCCTGATGGTGAATTTCTTGAAGACATTACTGTCAAACTTAAAGAGGTTTGCCAAAATTGCTTATGAATTTTTTTATTTTTTCCAATAATTGAAGTTGATATTATCTTCATATTTGTTTGCAATGTTTTTGTGGTCTTTTCTTGTTCACTGGCATTTGCCATATGGAAGTATTTACTCTGCCAAATGTTGAGTTTAAATATAAAGACCCACGGCTAGATTTTCATTTTCATATGTTTCTTTGATATGATCCACCCTAAATCATTTTCGTCATCCACCCTTTCCCGCTGCCCCTTATAGTGTAATTTGCGCTAATTGACAAAGCGCAGTGTATAGCTGAACGCTTGTTATCCAGCAGGCATTCAGTCATCAATATGAAACTAGAGAAATAAATAATGGTGTGTGTTAAAAGTAAAAATTTGCATTTCCACCCAAGCTACTACCTTTTGCTTGTATTTTCATTGAATGAATTCCTCCATGTAAATCTACTTTTCAACTAGGATCTAAAAAACTGCCCATCTTTTCCCACAACTACTGTTGGCGCTGTTGAAATTTTTGAATTTAACAGATCCACTTGCAGGATAAAAGTTGTCATCATCAGCTGTGCTGCATTTTTTCTTGTTTCAGTTGCATGTATCCTTCTTATCATGAATTCTTGTTAAGAGTTATATTAGTGTAAGAATGAAAGGGAGAAGCCAACCCTGCCAATTTATAGAATTGATGCTGATGTTTGCATGATATCTGTCAGCCTATTTGGGAACTTAATAGGATGCACTTTAGAATGCTTTTGGGAGAGACATTATATGAACTGAATTGTTGAGGGCAAAAATATCAGATGGAAATTTTGTAGATGGCAAAAAGCATGGAATTCAATACCTTCATTCACATCACTGAAGCATGGTTTGCGAATGCTTTGCACCTAAGAAACTTTTCACTTTTGCTGACTCCACTGAATTGTGGGTGACAAGTAGATGATAATGTTGTCAAAATGCGTGAACTGCTTTTGGTTGGCTCTAATATGAAGAAGTCGGGGAATTTTATGGTTCATTATATTGGAGATTGGGATCATGAATTATTTAAGCATCAAAGATAATGATCATCAATCACCTTCGGTTCCAATGCTAACTTAATACATAGAAAATGAGCATGATAGTAAAATTGTACGCTCCGAAGTTATTGGTGTCATAGGCTTAAAAAAGTTATATTAAATTATGGAAGCCATAAAGGTAACATGAGTTTAGGGCATCAATTACCTCGTGTTTTCAAGGAATTTAGTATTAGTTGCATGCATAGAAAACATTTAGTGCCGAATATATAATTGAGCATGAATTATATTGTGCACAACTAAATATCCCAAAAAATTAACATCATCATTATCCTTATTTCATCTCTTTTGGCTTATGCTTGTGAATCCTTCTTAATTCATTCCTCTTTAGTGATGCGTTACGTATTTCTAACCATTTGACTTTTGTCTCCTCCTTCGCCTTTATAATCATTCTGTGGTATCTGTGTCTACCCATCTTGTTGGTGTGTCTTCTCTCAGCATTGTGCGTGCCCAAACCATTTGTTTATTTTTCACTACTACATGTTCAGTAAATATTCTTACTCTTGTTGTTTCTTTAATATTATACATCTAACTGCATATCTTACTAGTTTTATCACATTTATTTTAATATTCTCATGTCGATGCATCTTAACTTGACTATCAATGACTTAATTGTTTCCCAGCACTTGGATACATTTATCAAGGTCATTCTAAATGCACTGTTATAATTACCATTTACCATTTTTAAAGGTTTCAACATTACATTGTTTTCTGCCTTGGAAATTGTTTCAACATATCACCTTTTTTTTCCTTGGATGTATCCATGGAGTGCTTGTGGTCTATAATTGACTTCCTAAATATTAGCTTGTTGATGTTTTTAGCTGGTTGGTTGACCGATATTTATGTACCAGGTCTTAATAACTTGGCATAATAATGGCATGCTAAATTGAAACCGTTTTTATCTTCTGCAAAAAATAGCATCGACTGTGGTATATTTTATACCTATTTGAATTTATTATTTTGTTGTTGGCTTCATAATTGCTGTTTTTGGCTTCATAATTCAAGTTTTTCACTCTTTGCGTGCTATTGTTTGAAAGATTTATTAATTAAGATTTTATTTTAGAAGACTTGAGTTGATACTAATAAGTTTCCTGTCTATGAAGTATGTACTTGAAGAGCTGAATGTAAAAGCAATCCTTCCTTGCAATGATACATTAAAGTATACATCTTTAAGGGCCGAACCAGACTACAGGTGCAATTTATATATTTTGGTTTTTTGTGCGCCGTGGCTTAAATAACCATGTTAAACTTGTGGCTTTATGTTTATTTATTTATTTATGTATTTTTTTATATTTAGTGTCTTAGGTGTCCGACTGGGGAAAGCTATGGGAGTTGTTGCAAAGGAGGTCAAGGCTATGAGGCAGGCTGATATTTTAGCTTTTGAAAGTTCTGGAGAAGCTACATTTTCGGGGCACTGTTTAAAATTTAATGAAATTAAGGTTTGTGCTTAATAAGTTATAGGGACAAAGTGTTTGATGTTATTATTACTTCAAACATTTTCCTAGGTTTTATTTGATCATGATACCTCCAACCAAGTCTTATATAATTTACTAAAATAATAATTATGCTGAATGAAGTCCTTTTTTGGATCGTTATGCTTGAAATCTTTTTGGCATTCATATTATTGCGTTAAACTGATAGTGCTGGGTAACAATGCTAAATTTCTATTAGAGAAGGATCAGCTGAGCCAACCCCAAACACCTAAACAAGGCTGTTTCTAAAGCTGATGCTGAAAGTTTCAAAAAAGTTTTGAATTTTTATTTACTTGTGTTAACTTCAATTATTTTTATTTCACCTGAACATTCATAATGAATTCCTATCAGTTAATTCTTTTAGCCATACTGTTCTTTATTAATATATAAGCACTTCTAGTTAGGATTTTTAACTTGAAAATGAAGAATTATTAGAAAACATTAAGATCAAAGAATGTGAAGGATTTGAGTATAAAATCTTAGAATATATGCTTTTGAAATTGGAAAGCGTCTGAAATTGGGAAACTAGAATTTGAAATAATTTTTTGATTATGATAAGAAGGTGATGCAATTTTAGCAAAACCAGAGAACGACACAAGAAATTTAGGAAGAACACAAACTTTTTTATTGAAAAAAAAAACTGAGAAGAAAAACATAAGATACAGTTGGATCTTCAATTGGAAGGAAGATACAGCTCTCCCAAATCCCTAGCTGTCTGCTAGAGCCCACTCAACCTAAGCAAAACTAATTCCAGCAAAATCAAGCATAAAAACTGAACCCGGGTAAACAACTTATTTAAAGCATACAAAACATAGCAAATCTCAAAACAGCCCTCTCCTAATTCCCTCCCAAATCAGCCCCAAATTTGCCATCTTCAATTAGGAAACATCTACTAAATAATCTCCTCCAATTCAGCTCCCAAATCAGCCATCTTTAATTAGTAAACTTCTCCTAATTAATTCCTCCAAATCAGCCCCTAAATTTATCCTCTTCAATTAGGAAACATCTCCTAATTAATCTCCTCTAAATCAAGGCCCCCTTTAATTAGGAAACATCTCCTAATTAATCTCCTTCAAATCAATTCCCTTTCCTTATAAATTTCCCTCTCCTATTTGAATTCAAATAGGGGATCTTTTCTTAATTAATTTCCTCCTTAATTCCCCTCCTATCATAATAAATTATTGCTTTGTTGGGCCTCACAAGGGGGGCCGAAATCTTCCTGAATTTTGTTTCAGGTTCCGCCCCCTCCACTGTCTGCTGGGCCGGCCTATCCAACCTCCCTTTGCCTATAGCCCTAACAAATTACTGCCCAAAATTCTGTTCAGTCATATTGACGCAATCATAAATAAGTCTCAAATGAAGATAAAGATTTGTAGTGGGAGAAAATTTTATTCTTTCTGTTACCTCATCTTCATCATTAGCCTTATGAGACCGTTAGGGTCACCTTCATGAATCCTTCTTCATAATATCTGTGCAGTGTTATATTGTCATGTTGACTTCAGCTTATGCAGTTATTTTTGCCCAATTCTAATCATGTTATCTTTAGTTTTACACATTTTAGTAAATATTCTTCCTACAATAATTATACATTTGCCGCATTGGTTCTTCCTTTTCTTCACTCTTATATATGCATTAACAACTTAAGCCGATTTTCTACAATATTATCGTTTGTGAGTGCTACTCCATCACTATATCTAGCACAATCATTTTATGTTGTATGTTGGCTGAAATGCTCGCGGGCAGTACCCGCTTCTTTTTATTTATTTGCACCTAGAACCTATAATTTTGGAAAGAGTGAATACATATATTGTCACCTATGTTACAGGTTCTGCGGGAATTCCAGAGACCTGCCAACATTTCAAAGAAAGAAATGGATGCGGCCGGGGATGGTAATTGGATTTGCTTGTATTCAATTTTAGAGAACATTAGAAGTCATTTGTGCATATTAATTTCCTTAACTTTTAGGTGATGTCCTTGTGATATTGGATCTACGTGCTGATGAATCCTTGTTTGAGGCTGGTATCGCACGCGAGGTAATGCGAAGCTACTTGGGAAAGTTACTTTATCAGTCTGGTTTTATTTGTTGTTTATTTCCTGATAGGGAAACACCCTTTTATGTACAATAAAAGTTTTGATTGATTAATCAAATATTGCATCAGGTTTTGATATCCTTCTTGAACAATTTTTTATCAAGATATCCTGATATAAAATTTTTCCTTATACTTTTTCTTGTGTAATCAAAATGGAAAGCGGTTCTCTTATCTTGCTTGGAATTGTCTATCTAATTGAATGCTTTTAGGACTCTTATGTAATTGATACGGTAATTTGGCCAGTTCTAGAATATTCTACTCATTGTTGAGCTGTTGATGAAAAGTAGCTGGGGCTTCATGTTAATTTCCTTGATATTTTCATTCTTCTTTAGTTGTGATTAATATGTTTTCGATTAATTATTTTTATTTGATGTTGCTAAATCTATTAATCTTTCATTTAGGTAATTAATAGGATCCAAAAACTAAGAAAAAAAGCTGGATTAGAGCCCACTGATTTTGTGGAGGTTTTCTACGAGTCATTGGATGAGGACAAAAATGCTTTAGAGAGCATTGTGAAGTCACAGGTATGATTTCTGTTGATTGGGAATTTAAAGCTTGATTCTCACTACTGAATGTGTATCACACTGCCCTCTCTTGCGATGCTGTAGGACCAATACATGAGATTGACACTTGGTTCACCTTTGCTTCATCACACTATGATTTCAAAGGATACTGTAAGTGATCTGAAGGCTTCCTCCCAACCCCCATTCCATCTTTGAAAAAAGAAAGCTCTCATCATATTCTATTGAGAATGATAGGTCTTAGTTGCATTGCCCTGTAATTTGCTTTTGCTCTCAGGTTATTTTCTGCCGTGAGGAGGTTCATGGAGTTTCGGGTTTTTCATTTGCTATTACCATCACGAGGCCTACCCTGGTGTTTGTTTTTGAAGCCATTGCCAAATTATTTTATGGTAATTTCATAGCTTTTATACGGCTTCGTTTGGACGGCTTTCTTATTGCTTATTAAAGTAACTTTTCAATACAAAAATTTAAATTTTTATATTAAAAAACTGCTTGAAGAAGCAGTAAGAAAGCCGTCCCAAATAAAGTCTTAGTATACATTTTGCTATGCAGTTGTCTTTAACAAGTTCTTATGCTGTTGTGCTGATCTCAGGAAATAACAAGTTCGCTGAAGCTTTATGCACTTATCTGCTATCTAGGGACCATTCCAAGTTAAGATCAGAGTTTCAGGCTGGAAAGGGCAAGGTTTGTATGATTCCATTCGCATATCCATTTGTTACTATTATAAGTCTTCTTTTTTTTTTTTATTCTGAGCTTAAGCTGGCAGGCTTATGGGTTTATATCTCTATGCTCCTTTCCTCTTTAACAATTCTTGTTTTGTGCTGATCTTTAGGGGAAATTATTTGGTGCGGAGTCCGGACTTAGCTCTACGTCCGGACTCCAATTAAATTTTGACAGGTGTAGTGGACACGTTAATTGGATTTCATTTTTTTAGGTCATTTTATATTTCACCACGGCATTTCACTGCTCACAAAGCAAAAAAAGCATAGCAAAAGAGTAACAAAATGGCAGCAAAAGTAAAATGGTAGCAAAAGCGCAGCAAAAGTATGGCAAAAGAGCAATTAATTACACATTATAAGTTTTTAGAAAATTTTCCTTACAAAAAAGCGCAGTGAATATCCGCATGTCCAAATTTAATTGGAGCTACGTCCGGACTCCGCACTAAATAATTTCTCAATGTTTAGGCGATATAAACAAGATTTTGCGCCAAAGATGAATTTTTTTTCTCCTTCGCAACATAAATTTCAATGAAGCTATACAATGGCTAGAAAAGACCGGAGTAGTGTTAGCCACTTAATGACTTCAAAAGGAATATTTTCCATTTTCCCCGTTTCCTAAGTAATATTTTTTCTTCTCTTTTGCAGATCACAATTGAATGCTTAGAAAATCTGCCTGCGGTCGAAGTGGAATTAGGAAAACATTTATTTTTAAGCATTGGAGATTATTACTTGAGCAGAACAGTGTAGGAGAAGAGAGTGTATTATTATACAGCCAAAGAAGCTTCAACACATTATTTACAGGCAGCCGAAATGAAGAGCAAAGCTCTTCCCAATGGGGATATCGTGTTGGATGTATTTTTTTTTTGTTCCAGATATTTATCTTTTTTATTCTTCTTCCGCTCATCTCTGTAACATCTCTGAGGTTATTATATCCATCATTTCCATTAAATTCAACAAATGTAGAAGAGGTATTTATGGCTGGATTGCCCATAATTAAAAGAGATTGCTTGATTCATAAGAGCACCAAAATATTTATGATCCTCTCTTTGACAAATACTTGAATCATATTGGTGAGAGCATCTCTTAGTATAGGTTGTCATAAGCATTGGCTCTCACCCTCTTTCCATTTCTCTTTTACTTATTTTCTCTCTACTCTCTCTATCTCTCTTTCTCTCTCTTCATTATGGATGATACTAGTTTTTTCTCTACATTTTTACATTATTATTTTTTTAATTAAAAGTTTCGTCAATTCTTTTATTATTTTAAAAAAATTTAGTTTATAGGAGATTTATGTAATTAAAATTAAAAAATTATATCATAGGAGAATTATAATATTTAAATTTAAATCAAGTAGCTTAAAATATATTTATTATAAATGTTTATATATTATGAATATACTTTTATAATAATAAGAAGATGAAGTTTTTTTTATATATTTATTGCTCTTAAATTTTTTTTAGTGATATTTTTATTTAAATTAGATATGAAAATATAAGGTAGAAGAGTAGTTGAAATAAATTAGTATGATAATATATATTTTAAATAAATTTGAATTGAAATTAATTTAGATGAGTATGATAATAAATTTCTTTTCATTATCATAAAATTTATCTTTTTATAATTAAAATAATAATAATAAATTAAAACTACAATGTTAATTTTAAGATAAAATGAAAAAGCTTGAGAGAATTTTAAAGTAAAGATTTTATGATCCCGTAGATAAAAAATTCTGACTCTGTCACTGATTGTACATTTTATCCATATCAAGTTTAGCAAAATCTTAGTTAATGATGGTTGCTCCAACTTTTTCCTTTATCCCCCTACAAAATTGAAGGTTCCTGTATTTTTAACCACTCAACCCTTATTATAAATACCCAATCTCATTATAAGATGGACAACAGGTTTTTTATTTAAAAACTAATAAATTATGCTTCCTCAATTTTGGAAAAAATTATTCTGTGTTGACCCCATACAATATTTAGAGATCAATCAAAATGCGTCGGGGTATTTTTTTGCTCGGTACCACTGGGTATCGGGTGAAGTGGCGCATTCTGGTTGATCTCCGAAACGTCTTAGGCTCAATACTCCAAGAAATCTCATTTCCTCTGGTTGCCCAAAGACAGAAATTTAGAACTGCTATTAAATTTTAGAAATGCGCCGCTTCACAAAATTTCTAATGTCATCTTGTAACTTCAACTTAAACACTTCAATTGCCTCCAAATTAAGAAGATAAAAAGCACAATCTTTCGTCCCCCCAAAACTATCCAACATTATTGAAATTTGTAAAGCTCTAAACCTGACAATTAAATATATGGGCATTTATATCTCAAGCAAGAGACTATGGTTCTGATTGGGATGATTTTTTTACTATTTTTTATAGCGACTTTTTAGTATAAAAATTTTAATTTTTTACTATAGTAGTAATAGACCTAGTGAGGAGATTGTGACTTTGGGCGATCAAGTCATTAATAAGAGTACATGTTTTAGATATCTTGGATCTATTATTCAGAGTGATGGTGACATAGATGGGAATATTATCAGCAGAATTCAAGTTGGATATGTTATCATCAAAATTATGAAGTTGAAAAATTATAAACAAACTTTGTGCTAATTTTATATTTCATAGTAATACAACAAACCACAAACTCCACCTCATCTCATGGAAGATTATTTTTTGCTCAGGAAATTTGGCAGTTTGGGAACCTCTAACTTTTAGGCTTAATTCGTTTGTGTCGGCTTTTTTATTTCTTCTTAAAATAGTTTTCTACAAAATTGTTTTAAATAACAATAAGAAAGTCATCCCAAAATAAACTTCAAGCTCTAAATTGTGGTTACTGTTGCTCTCTTTTATGTTGTCTATAAATTTGTGATGGGCTTCTGTTGCTTTGGTGTAAGGATATTATAATATTGTTACATGATGGTGCCTGTATCTGCAACAGATTTATATCAATATTATTCTTCTTTGTCACCTCCGATGACAACTATCAGATCACTGACGTAGATTATGGGATTTTTTATTGTCCTTTTTTTTTAAGTTCTTTATCTATCAAATATAATTGTAATTTCTATAATTTTTTTTTTTATTTTGTATCAATTTGTAGCTCTTTATATATAGAAATTATAACCATGTTATAATATTGTTCTTGATGAAAATGTTGGGTGTGGTTTTCAATTTTGAAAAAAAATTCACTAATTTTTTTTAAAAATATCTTTTTGATAAATTAAATAAAATCAATTCAAAGGAGAGTTGTGTTATTATAAATATTGTTACATGATGGTGCCTCTATCTGCAACAGATTTATATCAATATTATTCTTTTTTGCCACCTCAGATGTCAACTATCAGATCACTGATGCAGATTATGGGATTTTTTATTGTCCTTTTTTTTTTAAGTTTCTTTATCTATCAAATATAATTGAAATTTCTATAATTTTTATTTTTCTTTTGTAGCTATTTGTAGCTCTTTCTATTCAGTGTTATAATATTGTTCTTAATGAAAATGTTAGGTGTGGTTTTCAATTTTGAAAAAAATCCTATAAAAATATTTCTTTAAAAATATCTTTGTGGTAAATTAAACAAAGGGGTGGTTTTTGCATATGTAACACATAAAACCATTAAAAATACATAGTTAACACCTAAGCTATTATATTTACTAATATACCGCCTAAAATACTCATTTTAAATCTATTATAGCACTCTATATTTAGCCTGTTCTCCCCGTTCGCTCCCTCCGTCCGTTTCAATCATTCACATAAGGTAATATCTAATTATCTCTCTTCCTAGTCCGAAGTCATGACTTCTCAAGTGATTTCACCCTGTTCAAATGTTTCGCACGTCATGTAGTTTCTTAGGTCGGCAATGTCTGGAGAAGACGATCGTGCGAGAGAGGGAGCAGCTCCAGTATCAACTAAGACGATAGGAGATTCCCACGCTCTTTGAGGTTTGCCTTTGACATGAGGGAATAGAGTGTTTTTTTTTATTACAAGGCTAAGAATTTTGAGATGGCAGAATATCGAATATCGAATAGGTAACTTTACATGTTAAATAAGTAAATATTGTAATTCTAAGAGTTAGGAATGGAAAAACTCCTTAAACAAAATGAATTCAATCATGTTATGTAATCTACTATTTTTATTAAAATAATTCTAATTATTTTTTATTTGTGTTCACCATAAAATATAAAAAAAATCAGTGATTGGAGCTGTTGCACATTTTTTTTCAGTTTTTTTCTGAAAAACTACTGTCAAGAGAACTGCACGCGCTCACGTGCCAGCAGCCCTGTGCATGCGGAAACCCCTTTGACTTCTCATGCACTCGACCCACCGTCCGATTACCTTTCGACGATCAGTAGCTCTCTGGTCCCCACCTGCTTTCGCGCGAGCAGACACCGCTTACTCGCATGTCTGCATCTCCACACTGCACGACCTTTTGTCCTTTGTCCTCTTTTTCTCTCCAATCCCAATTGGTAGATGGCTACTGTGGGACCCGCATAGTTGGGTCCCATATTTTTGTTTTTGTATCGGGTTTTGATTGAACTGATGGAGTTCGGTGTTCCAGCTGCAACAGCGGATTCTTCGGGGGCCCCAGTTAACCTCCGTAGCAATTACTTGGATCAATAATTGAGCTCATTAAATAAACGAAGTGGTAAATATTACACTTATAAGATCTATTTTACATGCGCTTTTTTTTTTTTTTTAACTGTCATCTTTGGAAGAGTGTTTGGTGGCGTGATTAATCTTCGGCTAACCTAGAAGATATACTCACCCCAGTAATCTTGTGGCCCGCACTTAATTAGGTCTTGCTTAATGGGCGCTGTCGCTCAAGAGGAATCGAACATGGGTTGGGATTTGAGAAACGGGTTCTCAACCGTACTTACCCACCAACCAAGCTAAACAATAGTGGGTTAGTTTAGACAATTTTTCATTTACTTTGATTTTCGGGTAATAATTACAATTTAGTTTAATTATTACTTTTTTGCAATTTTCTCATCATTTTTAAAATTTTTGTATCAAAAAATTTATTTTTGCAACCAGAGCATTTAAGGTTACATATTTGAGACAATTGTAGTCTTTTATAAAATTAGTTGTAAAGATAATATGAAGAAAATAATTTTTTTGAAAGCTACTGCATAACACGCCTAGCTTAACTTTCTAGCATAAAAACTTATCCAAAATAGTGAAAAATTAGTTGTCAAATAAAAATTGTGATTGTGATATGAAAATCAAAACAGTAAAAAAGCTGTCTGAAACGAATTTTTTCCACAACAACTTCACTACTAATTTTATAAAGCGCTACAACAGATCGGTTTTTATTTTATTTCTAAAAATATTATTTTGCAAGGGATAATGTGGCGCTTTAAGAAGACGAGAAGCAATTCTATATTATTCTATTTGTCTGTTCTGTAAAATTCGAAGTAAAAGTTATTTTTAATATTTAATATTTTCTAATATTTTAATATATTTTTTTTCAATAAGTCAAATGTCCAAACCGTTGGAAGAAATTTGAATTTTTTTTATATATTTTAACATGAGCATAATGTAAATTTTTATTTTGAATTGGATTTCTTGTAGCTATAGTTTACGGTTTAAAATACATGAAAATTAGGTTTATTATTATGGTAATCATGATTTTTTCAACTTATAAAGTATGAAGGTTGATGCAAATTTATGATTTCAAAGCACTAAAAACAAATTAAAAAAAATTAAAAATTATTTCAATGACTAGGTCTTTAAATATGACAAATTTAATCCAAAATGTCCATTAAGGCTTTGTTTGGGACAGCTTTCTTACTGTTTCTAGTAAAAAATTAAAATTTTTTTATTAAAAAATTGCTTGAAAAAACAGTAAGAAAGTCGTCCCAAACGAAGTCTTAGTTGTGATAATTTCAATATTTTTTGAATACCGGCCAATTCAATTTTTCATTTTCCTTATGAGCTGCATCATAATTTTTTGAACATTCGCTTTACTTTTTTTTACTGGCATACTGCATATTACATAGGTTGGAAGATCAACAAAAAAACCAATCAAGCACTCTCCATATGGAGATGTTATTATGTGCGGATGCCGAACGCAGTTCACCGTCCGAAAGCCAACAAGAATACGTCACGTCAGTGATATCGTACCGGGTACCGAACAGGCGATGACATGGTGCATTCTGATTGGTCTTCGTATAGAGTTCGACGTCTGCATAGAATAATTTCACCTCCATATGAGGTTTTTGACTCATCTCAAAATACTGCTAAAAAATATTGATATCTTTTTGCATGCTTCGAAATTTTGTGTCCAACTTTTTTAAGAGTCTATGTTCCAATTTAAAAATTTGAAGGGCATACTAAATTGCAATTAAGATATTAGCTAAAGATTTTGCTTCATTATTCTAGGTTTTTTTTGTAGATATAAATCCCTATGATTAATTATCCCTGTAGATCATGCAAATTTTGTTGTTGTTAAGGCTAGTTGTTAGAAGCTAAATGAATATTAGTAATTTTTATTTATGTCTTGAAAAGTTATTATTTTATCTCAAAAAGGATAGTGAGAGTAATGATGACGAACCTTACGAAGATCTTATAGTTTAGCTTGTGGAGATAGTAAACACAGCCTGACCTAAAGATTCTTATAAGTAGCTATCGATCGTATCATCTAAGAGAACCTTCTAGACTTAGAGTTGATGTTGTCTAAAAAGATGATTTTAACTCAATTTAGCTAACATAGAGTTTTATGCCATGTCAATTATACTCTCTAATTCACAACACAAAGGATTGAGGTATTGTGGAACATTTGAGCTTTAATGATGGTTGTACTTTAATAGTATCATTTTTATAAAGAAAGTAGCTAGCTAAAGAGGGTTCCTTTCATAATTATTATTCATTGATGTCATTTGACAATATAAGCATCTAGTTAGAGGATAAGTGAAATGTCTTTATTAATATGAGATTTTTTTTGAGAGTGCTCGATCAATGTGACATTGACCTTCTATATATGATCATAAGTTAATTTTAAATTTATAACTTTCGACAAATTATTGTGGACAACAGAGGTGTCCATTTCGGGTCACGGGTCGGGTTCGGGTCGAACCTGGAACTGATCCGGGTTCAATCGGGTCGACCATAACTCGACCCGGGTAGGTAAACTGGTCAAATATTCGAACTCGGACTCGACCCGGCGGGTTGCCGGGTTGACCCGACCCGACACGGGAAGGAGACCGCGCGCGGTCGAGAGCGGACGGACCCGTTTTTCAAATGGGTCGGGTTTTCGTGTCGTGTCAAATATTGACAGCCTTAGTGGACAATGCATGGTTATTATTTTAAATTTTGGGGTAATAGTTTTGCTTGAAATATTTGAATTTTATAAAATTTTTAAAATTTTATAAAGGAGTTTGATTTCTCAAAATTATTATAGATCTCTTAAAATATTTATGGGCCTCTCAAAAATAATTGCACGTTTCTCAAAGTGCGAGATTAGTTTAAGTTCCACTTATTGTTGATATGCAAGATATTTTTATATTTCAAGTTCCAGCATTTACCATGTTTGTCAGAGCACATACATACATATTTGGATGTATTTTTCATATGGTGTGAACGGCTATGGAATATGCTTATATATTTTTCAATGCACTTACATGATGTAATTGTATAAGGTTTTAATAACTTCATACATCCATGCATACTTGTGGATATAATGCAGAAATTAAGACTTCATTTGAGATAACATTTTTACTATTTTTAAAAATAATTTTTTAGTATAAAAATGGAGGAAGAGACATGATTATTTGTGGGGTTTGGCCTTCTTGGCCGATTTAGATTTAGCTTTTTTAGGAGGTGAGCTGTTGGCAGAGGAGGTTTTAGTGGAGGAAGAAGAAGGTCTGTGATTAGTGGCTTCTTAATCTTTCATAGTACGGACGTGAACCCAGTGAGTACCCCACAAGAGAGAGATTCCAAAGGGACTTGCCTTCCGACAGATCTTTTGAAGCAAAGGAAGATTTTTTCTCCGGCTTAGAATAAGACAACAGCCAGACATCACATGACGGAGGAGGCGTCGCGAGGTTAGTCGCATAAGTGGTAGGAGGCAAAGAAGGAGCCCCTAAAAGGGAAGAGCCTAGAAGGGGAGGAAAATCATGCGGAGAGAGAGCCATCCCGGCCAAAAGGCCAGGAAAGCTGCTGGGAACGAGAGAGCCGCCAAGGAACACTAAACCCTAGCAGAGCGCTGTGCTCTGGGATCTTCTCTTCCAAAGCTCATAGCGTCACTCAACGTATACTAAAATTTGTTGTACTAGAATTTTGCTTTAGAAAGCACTAAAAAATTGCCCCAAACGAATTATAAGTCTTGCGTTAGAAAATTTATACACAACTTTAAATAAACTTTATAATGCTAAACACACTATTTAAGGCTCAAAAAGGGATAAAATATATAATTGGACTTTACATATATTTTATAATAATTTTTGTGTATTTATATATTTAACACTCAAATATTCATATCTATTTAGATAACATCAAAATCTCAAACTCACATAAACATTACTATTGATACTAATTTCTCTAAAATAAAATATACGTTTTCATTTATATATTTTGATAAGATTTAGACATTAAAGTGATTTATATAGATTTTTATAAAAAATTAGGCTTTAGGAATGTAAATACATAACATTTTTTATGATTTGCATTTAAATCCCTCAATAAATAAATGATAAACATTGGAAACACTAATTTCAAAGTAATTTGCAAGCATCATTTAATTTTTATAAGGAAAATATGATTTTATGAAATATCTAAATATTGTGGGGGAACTTTCCAATAAAAAATATCAATCTATTATATTTATAGGTGTAAACGAGTAGAGTTGAGCTCGAGTTAATAATATTAGTTAATCAAATTTGAACTCGAGCTTAATTTTATGAATTTGAGCGGGCTCATTTTTAACAAAAAAGAGAAAATATTATTACTCAAACAATTATTATAATAAAGTTAAAAAAAAAGATAAATTAACAAATAAATAATAAAAAATTAATTAATAAAAGCAAATGAGACATATTTTTTAAATATTTTTAATGTTTTTAATAGCTTTATACTTTAACTTTGAATTTTAATATATTTTAAGCATATTTTACATTAATATTTTTCAAACAAGCTAGCGAGATAACGAGTCCAGTCGAGGCTAGGTCAAATCAGCTAGCGAGTCATTAGTCAAGCTGAGGTAGAGCTCTAGACAATCAATTTGACTCAAATTATACCCTTAATTATATTCATCTTTTTTATTATTCAAATCTGAGATAATCATTTTTTTTTAAGTTATTTATTTAACAGAGTCTATATTTCTGGTGCTTTGGCCCTTCTTTCATGCAAAATACCAAAATCGCATGATAATTTTAAAAAAGAAGAAGAAGTAAGAACACTCTTTTAAATATGAATTTGATTAAACTAAATAAAATATAAATTATAAATATTGGCTCTCCTGCTCTCCACAAGTCGCGGTGTGGCACCGAATTTATCCGCACCGAGCTCGTCTCCCGAAGCAAAGGAGAGCGCTTTTGCTCTATCCTGCTCTTTCGTCTACACAGCGCACATGGGGTCAGCCTCCCCTTCATCGCAGAAAGCAAAAGCCTCACGACTAGGAAGGGGATAGAGAGAGAAACCAGAGAGAAGCCATCGCCGGCGCTTTCGACCGGCACAGAAGAAAATTGCAAGTGCCAGTGTACAAACGGAGTGTGGGGTTGGGAATGGGAGAGAGCGGCAGGGGTCCGGTGATGGCGCCGCTGAATGTGGAGAGGGGGGATCAGGAGAGATGGAGACACTTCGACAGCTCGGTTAACGCCGTCTCATTCGGTTTTGTCGCGACCGCCATTCTCATCTCCATGTTCCTCATAATGGCCATCTTCGAGCGCTTCCTCCGCCCCCAATCTTCGTTTTTTGCCTCCATCACTGAAGGTGGTGGTGGCGGCGATGGGAGCCGGAGACGGAGAGGAACAGCTGATCTTGAGGCCCAGAACCGGGATGACGTCGGTAAGCTTGAGTACCCCTCTCCTAAGGTAAGAAGAAACCAAATCAGTTCTCATCCTCTCTCAGCATCTTCTTAGTGCCTCAGTTTTTTACTTTTTTCCATTTTTAACAAAATGACGGCGATTTATATCGCAAAAATGCTCCTCCTGAAACTAATCTAACAATAGTTGAGTTTTTTATGGAAGATTTGTTTTATTACTTTGAATTTACAATCGCTACGCTACCTTTCGCTTTATATATTCATAATTTCACGGACCTCTAAACGAAAGGCCCGACTGTTCGATGCTTTCAAATTTTTTATCCTCATTACGGAAGTTGGGAATATCTGCAAATGTTTGCATGAGATCTTGAAGCTGCTGATGAGCATGTTTGTACAAATCCTCATTGTGTGATCTAAGCAACTGATCAAGCATTGACCAGGTCTATGTTATTTAATATTTAGTCCCGTTTTTAGGCTTTTACCGGATTCCTGGTTATTATTCTGTCATCTTTTTCTATCATAATGACGCAAATGCCCTTTAAAATCCAGCAAGAACATGTGATTGTCTTTATTAATGTCTTTTAGCACTACTGGTTCACCTTTACCTGGCCTGTGCTTTCTAGTTTTAGCAGCCCACACATAAGACCACCTCCAACCCAAAATCTCATTTTTCACTTCAAAATGCCCTGAAACTAAAAAAATGCCCTAATTTATCTCCAATCGAACTCCATTTAGCCACTTTTTGGGAAGGTAACGGTTTTCTCTTCTTTCGCGCGACAAGTTCGGTACAAGTTCGGTAGAGACAGAAAAATAGCAGAAGTTTACCGTTCAGCTCAGCTGGAGCTCGCAAGGGACAACATTCAAGCGTTTGGAGTTGGGTTGGAGATGCCCTAAGGGAAAAAGTAGACGGTCTTGATTAAGAGGACTAGCGAGCTCTCACTTCTTAGTTCTTAGAAAGATTTCGAAACTTAAAAAAAGGAAAAAAAAAGAAAAATTGAATAGGTTCACATCACTGACATTTAGTTCTGATGGTGATGGCCTAGCCAAGTACACATCATGGCGTTGGATGTTGGCCTCCATTAGGGACAGGTGGGGGATCTCCAACATAAAGCATGTTGGAAGTTTGAGCGGGTGATATGTAGAACTTGGAGATGTAACATGGCTTTGAGCTTTCAGCTTTGCCTGTTTGTCTCTTTAAGCTCTACCATGCTGTTTTCATGCTACAGAAGATTTTTGAAACAGGGTTGACCGTTTGTGTACTATGCTAGAAACCTAGTATTTCTGTTTTGATGACTTTGTTTTATGGCTCAAACTCAAAGGTATCAAAGGACAAAAGTTCCGTTAAGTTGATTATTTGTAGTTAATCAATATTTGTTATATCTTTCCCATGACTAAAAAGAAAATTGAAGCTCCATGAAGAATCCCACAGAGTTAACCAAGCTTTGTTTGATTTCTCATAGTTGGCTTTTTTAACGAGGAAATTGAGAAGAATAAGCTTTATATTGGCTTAATAGAAACAGTGAGATCCATTTGAGTTGAACTATCTTCTTTTATAATTGTGGATCTTGGAACCGAAATGGTGGAGGCTGTTTGGGCAAAGTAGCTATGAAGTAGAAAAAATTTAAATAATTGTTTCAAATCTTACTTAAATTTGTATTTCGTTGAGCTGTAGATTGGTAGATAGATAGATCTATAGTAAATGTGCAAATTAAAGTTGGTTTAACACTAATTTGGGCCTTTTCTTGATCAACTTCTATACAAGGTACCTTTGATCCGATTGATGCAGGACGAAAATGCCGGCTTTGCTACGGAGAGGACCTCCTCTCCGAAATCTAAAATTGTTCCTTGCAAAACTGAAATAAATCTGGATCTTCCCACAGAAAATCTGAAAAAAAGGGATTTCTAATTTTATCTACCCAATTATTGATGCATCTTGAATCATTTATTGCATATGCCAAATTTCCTAAATATATTTTTCACAATTGTATTTTTAATGGGTGCTACTCCAACTGCTCATCTAATATAATACTTTTTTATCTATCCTTCATAACTTATATGCAAAAACATCACAACATTCATATTTCGTCATGCTTAACTTGCCTATTAATGTTATTTACCCCTTAACACTAATATCAATACAACAAGGTTGTCTTAAATTCTTAATTAATATATTTTTAACATTTATCTTTATGTCTCTAATATTCTCTAATCTCATAATGGTTCTAAGGCATTTCTCAATTTGGATCACCTTTTCACAACAATTGAAATTATGTCATTATGTTTATTTCTATTCTTTCAAATAATAAATCTAATATAATTAAACTTTGCTCATCTTACCATCACTTTATTTTCTAGTAATATTGATAGATAATTATTAATATCACATCCTTTAAAATTACTTATCATATATTTAGTTATTTTTTTAACTAATTTTAATCCCTAAATATTCTAATAGTTTTCTCTAATATTTTACATTTTCACATATTTTAATGGAGATCTCAGTCATTAGAATTATCATTTGCAAAAAACAAAAGGCAAAGTTTCTTGCTTAGAATATACTTTGTAAGCCTATCTATAACAAAACAATAAGATATTTACTTAATATTGATTGTTGATGTAAATTTATTATGATTACATGATTTTTGGTTATTCCATAACTATATCAAATCTCATCCATGTTGTTGATATTTTCTATTCCATACCACTATGAATTCTCTCATAGCTAAGCATATATGTTATAGGGTTGTAAACGAATTGAGCCGAGCCCAGCAAGTGTTTGTTCATATTTAAGCTCATTTATTATCAGCTTATTCAATCTCGGTTTGAGTTCAATTCGAGTTTTTTTTTTGTTTCTATTCAAGCTTGGTTTATTTAAAATTATAAATGTTTATGTCTCATTTGTGTTTGGTTCATGTTCAATTTGTTTGGTGCTTATCGATCTTGAAACAAATGCACCTTATCAAGCTATTAACACGATTTACTTTTTAGATGTTTATTATAAAGCTTAATAAATGAGCCTTATCAAGTCTACTAACAAAGAATTACTATAGAGTTTGCCGCGAACATATCTATTGAGTGTTTTTTAACTATTAAATGATCCTGTTCATGAACATATCTAACAAATGTTTTTGAGCTACTAAATGAAGTTATTCACGAATAAATGAGCTAAAAAAATAATTCTTCTTATAAACAAGTCTGTTCATGAGCACTTCAAACAAACAATCTAGTAAACATGAACCCATACCTCTACTTCATGAACAAATTTATTTTGATGGAATGTATTACATAAAAATGAAATTAATTTTTTATAAAATAAGAATAATTTATTATATGAAATATACTAAATAAAGATTTAAACCAATCTTAAGAAATGTATGTAGTTCCAAGTATTATTTATGAACAAGTTTTTTCACGACCTCTGCATTGAATATGAATCAAGCTTTTTAACGAGCTTGTTCATGAAATCTAAACAGTGTTGTTCATGAACATAAATGAGTCGAATATATAGTTGTTCAAGCTTGTTTATTTAGCTATCAAATATTTTAAAAAATTGTTTAAGCTTGTTTGATTACTTAATCAAACGTCACGAATGAGTTATAATTGAGTCAAGTCATGATAGCTTGCTAAACAATCAATTTGTTGGCAGTCCTATATGTCTATATAAGTCACATATGATAATTATCCTATAATTCTGCGGTATATGTTTTAATAATTGATCTATCTTTTCTTAATATTAAAAATTCAAATTACATTTTTTAATATATCTTGAGGAGCGTAAAAACTAATCAAATTTATAATGTTCTCATCAATAGTTTCCTCAATAGCGAATCATCAACCCTATGCAATTTAGCAAATTTATTTAATCTTTATATAGTTTATTAAAACAACCCTTTTAAACTATTCCTATTTTTTACCCTAGAAAAAAGCCCTAGAATCTCTTCCAACCACTCCACTCCAAATCCTTCCATGCCTCATGTGTCTTTGCATCACACCCAATTACACACCGCAGCTGCTATTCTGCTAGCACACCTGCTAGCCACAGACTCCTCTCTTTCCTTCTTTAGTCCATTGTCACCGCATTGATCATTTACTTATGAATGCCACCTCACCAATATGTGTAGGTTGCTTTATTGTAATTAATTGTATGGCTAATTTTTCAGTCCTTATTTTGTATTTTTTTATTAAAAGCTCTCTTAAAATTGTATAAATACTGGACAAATGTGATAGACTAGTTCAAGAGGGACCGGTCCAGCCGGCCCAGCACTTGGGCTGACCCTTGTATTACAACAGGCGGAAGCCTGTTGTTCCGCCTGGTCCAAATCCCTCCCATCTCTAAAATCCAACAAGAACATGTGATTGTCATTATTAATATCTTTTAGCCTAGTTTTTCCACACTTCTTTAAAGCCTCTCTAACTTCAGTTTTACTAATACACCAATAAAAATTGAAATCTATATTTTCATTTTGAGTGTTTAGGACATTAAAGTCAATCGTATTCTCATAATCTTCATTGAAAAACTTAGCAAAATATCTCATCCACCTTGTTGAATATCCTCTTTTAAAAAAAGTATTTTTTGATAACGCACTTCACTTGAACTAATTAAATCCTTACTACTATCTCTTTGTTTAGCTAACTTATATAATCTAATCTATTATATAAATAATTAAAAGTTAAATCTTTGCATCGCAGATTGTTTTCTTAGACATTTTATGAGCCTATTTATATCATTATCAATTTTCAGAGTTTTTACATCTAAACTAATTATAATGGCAATGCTTTTTATTTTTTTATCTTTTATAGTACATTTTGATTCCATCACCAACTATTATTATTATTATTTTTTATTTTCCTTTTGAAACTCCAACTACATCCTTTGCAATATTCTTAATATTATCAGTTACTTTTTCTCACATAACATTCACTTACTCATGCACAGAAAAAATCTTAAGATTTTGAATTTTACTTTCAAAAATATTTTTGTTAGTGTTATTTAAATGTCCCCATCTAATCTTAAAACAACGTTTTACTATATTTTTTATATTCTGTCCC